TCAAGGGACTCAGATGCCCTCTTCTGACCTCCTCAGGTACCAGGCACACACTTGGTGCACTAGCATACATGCAGGTAAATCATTTAGACATATAAAATAATAAAAATAAACCTAAAATGATAATAATAATAAAGTTCTCATCTTGACTAGCTGCTTTGTGTGGGGGAAAAGCTAATACCCATGGAAAACAAAGCAAGGAGATGGTGGCAGCTTACTCTATACTCGTACAAACAACCCCATCTTACCCCAGACTGCTCACAAGGTCCAATCACTCCTTGTTACTGAGAAGCTGAGTGTGGGTGCCCCTGGCTTCCAGGAACATGCCTCTAAAACTACTGCCCTGCTTGTGAGTTGATAAAAGGCAAGCCCAACCATCTGCATTAGAACCACAGTCAGGAGGCATGTCAGTGGTGTGTGTCCTGACATCACAGATGGTATAATATTGAAAGTCTTTAGAGTGTAAGATGCTCTTAAAAATGAAGATTAAACATATTAGAGCACCCTGGTCGTTCTGTGGTGTCTCCCAGTCTTGCTAGAGCAGCCCACACCTGGAAAGGGATTTCCGAAACAGAAAAGTTACTTCAAATTAGCAGGAAGAAATTCCCTATTAAATTCCATGGGCTAATCAGCTACTCAGTCAAAAACTTTTAACTCCCAATTTATGTATCTATCTCAGGACAACTAAGTTTCAGAGGAATTGAAGAGCCAAGTGCGGACAAATTTTAACAGTATTAAAAGGAAGTGTAGTGGGGCTGGAGACATGGCTGCTCAGTGGTTAAGAGTTCACACTGCAGAAGGTCCCAAGTTCAGTTCTCAGCACCTATGCTCAATATTCTCTTCTGGCCTCCATGGCACCCTCACTCGTGTGTTATACCTTCACTTAGACACACACCCACACACATAAAAATAAAATACATCTTTTGAAAAGGGGAAATGAAGAAAAAAATCGTCAGTAAGAGACAAAACCAAATGTCACAAAAAGAAAAACTGACATATATGGGTCATGCTTAAACCTTCCAGAAGACAGAGACAACAAGGGTAAAGGTGGAGCACAGGCCAGGAGGATATTTATTATATGTAACCACACACACACACACACACACACACACACACTTGCACGCAGGAACACACACAAGCTTTCTCAGTCAGCCATCTAAAAGCATAAACAAATGTAATTTGATTTAAAAAGTCAAAGAGCTCATCCATTCACAGTGCTACATGTCTGTAATTTTAAAAGTAAGGAGACCGGGGAAGAGGGAGTCTCATGAGTTCAAAGCCAGCTTGGACCACATAAAGTCAAAACACTTCTATTAACTGTAACAATAAAGAAAGAAAGTGAAGGTTCTCAAACAATGAGATACTTTTCACTGTCCAGGCAGATTACAAACACTGAACTACAAACACTGCACATCATATGAGGAAAGGGACCTCAGGGATGTGTGCGTATCACTGGGGTGGAGTGAGAATGGGCTGCGAAAAAGACTTAAAATGAAGGAAAATTGGAAAATGTTAATCAATTTATAATAAAAAGTCTCCTTCAATTCTACTGCCATGTGGCTATTTATAGAAAAAAAATGCTTAAGTGTGAATAGGAAGACTCATATACAAGGATGTGTGGTGACTTTATAAAAATGAAAACCAGAGCAGAAATGCTTGTGTGGGGATGACTGAATGGATTACGGAGCACTATGCAACAGTTTAAAAGGATTTACAGCTGCATAGAGTGTATACGAAAGTTCTCTATGACAACATTTAGTGAAAAGGGCAAGTGTTTTATTTTAATAGCAAGCTATTTTGTTCAGCATTGGCCTGAGAGTGTATGTTCTTGTATATACATGGTCTCATTTATTTACTAACTGAAAGAAAAACTGTGCTCCTAACCCTGTATGTGAAGGCGCTGAGAGTGGTCAAAGGGATGTGTGTACAGGGCGATAGCCACATTTTGGTTGATCTTTTGAAGAAAGTGGGCTTGGGCCCTCCTACTGTTCTTAAGAGTTAACTCACAGGAAAGGCCCTGCCCACTCTCCAGATGTTATGTATGCAGTTACATTGCAAACAAGCCTCAGGCTTTGTGGGACATCTTTCTGAGCAGCTCATATTTCAACCTTTCCCCACTGGACCACTGTCCTAGAGCACCCACCTCTGGGTCTGCAGTCAGTTTGGCTAACTGTGAAGTGAGCCCGGCCATCGCTCATACTCCTGCCATCTCAGAACATCTGAGCAGAAATGGAGTCTTTTATACCATTTGCTCACTCTCTGCCCATTAGTATTAAAGTGGGAAAGTGAGCTCAAAAACACGTTTTTCTCCCCAAGCACTCTGACCAATGATAATTCCGAAATGTCAAGGTACCTTGGTAAAAAAAAAAAAATCAAAACACCAAAAACAACACACACACACACACACACACACAGAGAGAGAGAGAGAGAGAGAGAGAGAGAGAGGTGGAAATAACATATATCTATAATTATATCCGAAGTTAAATAAAACAGATAAAAATTTTGCTCAATGTTCTAGCTTCAGAAATGGCAATGTTACTTTCACATTAAAAAAAAAAGCACACACACCATAAAAATAGTGTAAGACAAGTTGATGGAAAATGTTATTATTATTTTACAGTTTAGTAAATTCAGACTAAAGCAACATCAAATTAACCAGAATTAAGTTAGGGTTTTCTGCCTTCTGATCTGGGAGTTGGTTTCCTCCAGCATAGGACACCTTCCATGTGTGCATCTCTCTCTCTCTCTCTCAACAGCTGTCTAAAACGTCAAGTTTACTTCTGGGGGTGACAATACAGCACTTCATAGACAGGGGGTAGTAAACAATTCGAGAATCTGAGTAAAAATCAATTTAGGAAAAGGCTAAATTTCATGATGCCATAAAGGTGTCTGGGCTGTTGTGAAAGAACCCACTCCCCTCTGGCACACAGGCTGCAACCTGGAATTTTGTCTGTGAACTTCTCCCGAGGACACTTTCATTTTTAACGAGGGCCATCTACACCCCTCCATTGAAAAATAGACCCTAACCATTAAGTCCCAGTCCAATGGAAATGTGATATGTTCATTTTCAGTGACCTCACGGGAGACGAAGGTGTTTGTGACAAATAAGTTTTTTTTTTTTTTTTAATTCTGTATGTTTCATGGGGAAGGACTAACTTGCCAATGTATCGTGAACTTCCCCTGGATTTTTTAAATGCACGTAAATACATGAAATACGAAAAAAACTCACAAAATTTGTTTTGCTTTGTACTACAGGAGCATTACTGTAGCACACAGCTCCGTAAAGCAGCAGAGTATTATGAAATTATAATCACAAATCACATTCGCGATTGCTGCTTTGCCCCAGGTAAGGGCAGCTGGTGAGAGCATAGGTCAGAAGGGAAGGTTGCAACTGAGTTCATCCCAGTGCACCGACCATCTTCACACAGAGACCACGGAAGATAACAGCTCTTTCTTCCTATGGATTGTCAGCTGTGCCTGCCTCTGCTGTGAAACCTGCCGGCAGAAAAGCGGTGGTGCAAACTGTAAGTGTCCCTGTGGTTTAAGCCGCTGCGGTGGCCTCTGTGGACCAGAGCCTATATCCTCAACCTACTGCACAAACGCAGCTCAAAAGACAGCGATGCAGTGCAACCAAAGTTATATAACAGAACTCCAGGAACAGCACAAAATGCGATCAAACCATAGTGCGCTTTTGCCTGGCGCGCAAAAATGAAAAGCCTCCCTCCTTTCTGATTTAGATTGTGCCATGCTGGGTTTCCGGCTACTAATTGAGGAGATAGCAACTCTGAAGCATCCAGGGTGCAATTGGTCCTGGAAATGTCACCTTTATTACATACTTTATCCACTTCTAGACAACATAAAAGGGGGACTCTTAGGTGGGGCTCAGCCCTACATGGTCGTCATTTAGGGAGAAAGGTCTAAATGATACTAATTCTGTCAGGTTTTTAAAAATCAGCTTTAGCTCTTAAAAGAAATAGAAGGTAGCTAGAGCCACAGGGCCTAGCCACCTTACCAGGAGAGACTTGGTGTTCCACCTCGGGGACACTCTAAGCTGCCACAAGTTCTGCTCAGGCTTCCGTGGATTACAAAGCACCGCTTAGAGCATGTGGTAGCCACTCTTTCTCCTTACTCCAGATGCCTTCAGGTTCCAACCCTAGGATGCATGTAGATCCAACCTCCCCAAGCTAGGTCTCCTTCACACCTGACTATCCAGCACGGGCACCTGAGCTTGCCTCGCCCCACTTCTGTCTTTCTGCATCCCTACCTCTTTAGTGCTTGTCTTGGGAAGCACGCGCTTGCCTGGCCTTGACCTCCACAGCCTGGACTTCTCTGGCCAGCCCAACGACACCAAAAGGAATTCCCGATGCAAGAAGCTCTAATCCCCAGCTAATCAGGAGAAAAACACACGGTGCGTCTCTGCAACCTTCTCAGGCGCTCAGCCACGCATGGTGACATTTCCGGCACTGGGAGCAACTAAGACACTGGATTTGCACCGCAACCTCTGGAGCCCCAAGCTTCAGGCGACTTCTTGGATTACTCCCGTGAGCGGGAAGGAAAAAGCCTGCTTTGCTCGGCGCTTCAAGGCGGGAGCGACAGGAGCGGCGCCCCACTGGGAGAATGCTGCTGCCGGGGGCTCGGGGCGCGGCCCGCGGCAGCTCCTCTGCGAGGGGTTAACTGCGGCTCCTGCGGCCCGGCGGGCGCGATCGCTTCCTCTCCCGTCGCCCGGGAACATGGATACCGCGCCCACGAGATGTTCGCGGGCTGGGCCAGGCAGTCAGGAAACATGAGAAGGCCTCGGTATTCCGGGTCCCGGGCCGCGCGCGCCCGTCTGGGTAAATAAAGCCGAGACGACGGCGGTGGTGGCGGTGAGCGCGTCGGAGCCTGCGCCGAGAACATGCGGCGGGGAGGG